ATAAATTATTAAGTTTTGTCATCTACTGATGGCAGAGAAAATAAAAATTTGCAACCAATTTGGATTGGAAAACGATTTCATTTTGAAATGAGCCATTTATTCTGCATTTGGAAACGATGCAAATAAGTGTGAATGCAAATATGTAGAGTATAAAACGGTTCATATAAATTGTAAAATTGGATTAGTTTTGCACCGATAAATTTACCTTCTTACCAAACAGACTCTTAACTGTAAAGGATGCAAACATGAATTCCAATAAAACATACTTTTTTATTTTATCAGAAGTCCACATGCAAATTTACTTCTTTTTTATGGATGTACTTTTACRTCTTATTACCAATGTAAATATGCATTGGTTTGTCATTTGTCAATACATAAATGTAATGTTACTAAACACAGGCAAAAGTGAACCAGACTACAAATTTACCCTGAATCAGGATTTATACTCCATTTGTATCATTTCCAAACGCAACCCTAGTTTCATGTKTATAAAAAAACGATTTTATGTAATGAAAAGAAATTGATCAAAACCACACATAAAAACGCAGAAAATACATTTGCGCTGAGTGTTAAAAGTTGTAAGGAGCTCCAAACTTCCAATATGTCTTCACTCCTTTCCCTTCCTTTTCATGGATGAGAGAATATGAAAGGGCACTGTTGAGAAGGACGTTTCATTGGAACTACACTAACTTCTCTAACCATGACAAAACCCATACAGGCATGTCTGAGTGTTTGTCCAGCCCCGTCCATTTCGTGTCTGCAAAGCAAATGCTTGTACGTTGCTTCTCTCTTCCTGCCAATTTTGGAACGACCCATCCACTAAGGGCCCGTTTGGGAGGGTTGATAGAATTGCTTTAGAGAAGCTACCTGAGATAACTTCACTGGAAAAATTGATTTTGTTTCTCGTGTAAATTCATTTTCGGCTTTCCGGATTTTACCAAATACAGCTTCATGGCATTCATGGTGTTCCGGGTCTTGCAGCTCATGAAATGCCAGAAAAGCCCTCCCACTCCCTAAATATTATCAGTTGATTCAGTTAACCGTTATTTTTTCTTTTAAGTTAATCCAAACTGAGCCACAAGTAAACCGAATTTTTTATTCAATTTCTTCAATTCAGTTTGGGTTTTTGGTTTTTGATGAACACTTAGGCACCAATTCAATTTGAAATTTATGCGGTGACTTAAAATCAGGACTATGAATATGAACTGAAGGGCTTATTGTTTTTTTTTTTGGACTCTTAGAGCTTGCCATTTGCTCCATTGGATAGATCTCCTTAGAGGTTTTTGGAACAGCACCCGATCTCTTTGCAGAACTTAGGGCATTTTTTGTCTACTAACAATATATTTTCTTTATTTTTATTTGTTTTTATAGATTTGTTATAGTTTTATACAAGTTTATTGAGCTTTGAATTGGGTATTTAGATATACAAATAAATCGAATTTGAACCAACCAAGGGCTGGCTTGTTGGTATGTTAGCTGGTTTGTTCCAGCGTTGTCGATGAATTAAATCCCACAACCAGCACTTTGGGAAAAAAAGGGGTYTGGGGAAGTTATTAATGGTGCATGACACCGAATACCAAATATTATATCAAATAAGAGTACGAATCATAACTGCAAACAAAGGGATGCAAATTGAACCGGGTAGAAAATCTACATCGAGTACATATTTGCACTCAACGTGCATGATGTTTACCTCTAAGGATTTCAGACTGGTTAGGCACGATCTCCTGGAAATATCGGATGTAGTGCGTGAGGCCTACGCTAAACAATGCCTATATAAAGGCACCAACCCCAAAGACTCAAAGAGGAGAAAAAAGAGAGGTACGCGTGATTATTTACTCACTAGCATTCAAGCACTCAAGTATTCAGCTTGCATCCACAGTATAGTACTGATTTAAGCATCGGAGCGACCTCGCCGGGTTAGCCACCCCAGGTTCTTTGATCTACTATTTTGTAGTTTGGTCCAACTCGTCGCGCAACTGGAGTTCGGATCATCTTCCACCCCAGGTTCTCTGTGGAAAAYGCTACAAGAAGCTAAGTTCTCACCTTCTAAAAAGCTAAGTCCTCTTTTTCCAAAAAGCTAAGATCTCACATTTTAGAAACTAAAGTTCCCACTTTCTAATTTCCATTTTTTATGAACTCAAAGGCATTTTGAGCAGCATCAACGCCCAGAATGAATACCGATTACTGGGGGACAAAAACACCTATGATGAACCTGGAGAACTCCCCTGTGACAAGTAAATAAGTTCAGGCCAAACTCAACACCCCTAGTGCCCTAGATAAATACACCGCTACTGTATGTGAACACCCCTCTCCCCGTGGTAGAGCCATCAGTGGTTCCCGCTGGGATTGAAGCGTAGCAGTTCTATGAGATGAAGTATGAATTTCCAGATCTAAGCATGGGAGAAGGCCGAGGTAGACAACAACAGAACATCCTCAATTCATCCTCAACAACAGTCAGCCAGGACGAGGTCTCATCAGCCTTGTTTCGCGAGGTCGCCTCTATAAGACGAACTCTTCGTGGCTTCCACAGGAGTTGGCGGCCAACGAACTGCATGGACGCCCTTGCAGGTCGAGCCTTCCAAGGCTCCCGTGCGAGTTGGTGACCTAAAGTCAGTAGTGCTGCCCCGTAGGTCGAGCTCCCAGTGGCTTCTTGTAGGAGTGGATGACCGGTGTCACTAACGAGGCTAATGCTGTGCAACCGTGGCTTTGAACTGCCGACTCACACCGTCAACAACATTATGCCCTCGCAAGGGGGGCAGAACATGTACGTTGTGGTCTCGCAAGCACTCACCCAAGAAGATAATCCCACAGGATGACGTAGAAGTAGCCATATGAGAAGTTACTACAGAATGACCACCCGCTTAGGCGGAAAGGTCAGGTCGCACATCAGTTAAATAAGGATAAGGAGAGTGGACCGCGAGTCGCTCCCAAAGCCCAAGGGCTAAGGTGTCGAGCTGATAAATGACCTCGGCACCGCATGAGACCCAGTCGCCTCTTCGGCATGGGCAAATAAAAAAGTAGCTTGTGCACAGGTAGGACGGGCACATACTCTACAATGTCTGTTCACTTCGGCATACATTGAGATCGGGTTATTCCTTTTAGAGCCTAGCTTGTCAGCCCGACACTTCTTTAGTAATCCACACTTATCTACATCAGCTCGGGCATATACCTAGTCGCTTCTTCGGCATGGGCAAAATAAAAAAGCAATTCGCGTTTAGCCTCATCGGTGTGCATACAGTTTGGCACCTTGGGGTAATCCACACTTAGAAAACTTTTACGCAATGGAGTGGAGGACAAAATACAACACATATTCGGCATACCGGTTGGGCGCCATGACAAACACAAACTTGGCTGATCTCTTCACAATAGACCTCTACCTCGATTKTAGGCTTCGTGTCGAACTCACTGGCTACTCTTTTGAGAACCAGTTCAAGTGACATTGCATCGAAGTCTACCTAGGTGGAGCGACCTAATAAAGCARTCACGCAGTTAGAACCCCCTTTTGAGGACAGCATGGTAAGCTTCGCTCTCGAGGTAATGGTCGGATTGCATAACCCCTTGACGGTTACATCCCTAATAAGGTAGATGTCCTCGGGGTACCTGCTTCACCTCTCCTCGAGAGGATGAGTTTGCTCTCGTGCCCTGAGAATCAAGATAGYGAGGTCCTACGTAAGGCAGCAAACACTCAAACTATTCCAATTTGAGAAGTAAATCAGATCAATGCTTGCGACTACGAACTGATTGAATCAGTCATCTTAGGCCAGAAGGAGCAATCTCCTCCCTTCGCCGAGCTACTCTCAACTCGGGAGTGGGGGGCAATTGATGAGGCCGAATTTGGCCCTCCAATGACATCATGACACATGGCATCTTGGAACAACAATTTGACACATAGACACCACCTAAGCAATGACTTGGAGTCCCAGATCGTGGTTTCTCTTCGCCTAGACCTGGCGACCTGCCTTCACCACCAACCTGGCGACCTCGATCACAACTTAGATCGACTAGAAGCACTTCATCTAGGGCCGACCTGCAGCACCTCGCTACTAGCCGAAGTGACCTCAACGCAAGGAGCAACCTCCCTCGAGGGCGTGCCGACCTGACTGAGGTCTAGGTGGCGACCTGCGAGACGTGCTCGCCGACAAATTCGGCATGCATATCCCGACACTCCCACGATTCTTGGAAGTTGGCCCACGTACCAAACATTCCGGAGGATGGTCAACGTGCATGATGTTTACCTCCAAGGATTTCAGATCGGTTAGACATGATCTCCCGAAAATCTCGGATGCAGTGCGTGAGACCCACGCTAAACAATGCCTATATAAAGACACCAACCCCAAAGACCTAAAGACGAGAAAAAAGAGAGGTGTGCATGATCTCCCGAAAATCTCGGATGCAGTGCGTGAGACCCACGCTAAACAATGCCTATATAAAGACACCAACCCCAAAGACCTAGAGACGAGAAAAAAGAGAGGTGTGCATGATTAATTACTCACTAGCATTCAAACACTCAAGTACTCAGCTCGCATCCATAGTATAGTACTGACTTAAGCATCGGAGCAGCCTCACCGGATTAGCCACCCCAGGTTTTCTGATCTACTATTTTGCAACTTGGTCTAACTTGCCACGCAACTGGAGTTTGGATCATCTTCCAACTAGAAGTATCCAGATCGTGCACCATCAGTTCCCGTACCCAAAAATACTTGCATAAAAAAACCACGCAATGAGATCTCAATAATTACAAGTGGGAAGCCATGTTGTTAGAACCGGGGCAGATGTTAAAGTGGAAGTCTCATTTGGACACACTTTAACTGGTGTAGTTACATAATACCCAAAAATAATGGTAGTCATATCATATATGATCTCCAGGGTCCAACAACGATGACTCGGACTCGCTATTACCGCTCATATATAACTGCCTTCACCGCTTAGCCGTTGTTGGACCCTGGACTCTGCCTTCAAACCGCTTAGCCGTTTTTCAAAATAAACTCGACAACTCATGACTCATCGATTCTCTGATAGAGCTGGGCTTTTATAACCTAAACCTCACTCTGAAATGTTACACCAAATAAATGTTTATCTGAGAACAAATAAAATAATGTCTACTCCATACGACGGATTCAAATAGAAAATACAGGAATTGAGGCCGCAATTTGTCCAACCTCTTACAAAGAAAAGATGAGGGAATTCAAGAACAAAAAAGAAAATATTAAAGGTGAATGCAAAGCTAGGGCTACAACATGAATTAAAACAAATATGAACAAGTATCATAGAAATATGGGAACGTCAATATTAGCTCCATGGGTCATCCCAACCTTTGGGCCCCTCTCTTTTAACAAAGTCCACTATGGCCTCTACTACTTCTGCAACCCTGTTTGACAGGGAATGGTTCCCCCACTCAATTTCAACTTTCTCTGCTCCTCCCATGGCTTTGCACAATCTGCAAGAGACAAAATCACAGCATTACTGGCAGCTCACAAGTCACAAGATTGTTCCATGCCAAGGCCCATAAATTTGTGTACATGTGTTTGTATTAGAAACCATATTAATTAACTAAGAGTCTAAGACCATTCAAGGGACCACATTCTCGGCAGGTAGCACGAGACAAAATTGTTACCATGGATAATCCTTTCCAAATGACTTTTGCTCATATAAATTATATCCTACCCCACATTTATCATTATCTTGCAAGACTTGTGCAGAATTCTTACCGTTCCATTAATGCTTTCTTATCAACATACTCTGGCACATATTCATCAGCCATAGAAAAAATAACCTGCAATAAAAAACAGTTTACTCACTATTCTCAAACTAAGGAAGAAGAACAAGATTCAATTATGGAAAACATGCTCTTTATAGATGAGAGTACAAAGCTGAACATTGATGGTTAACCAAGAAGCAACTGCCATTAGGGACACATTTGATTTCCATCTTCTATTATTCTTACAACAAATATGTTGTCTTCTTGGAAAAGGAAAATAAGGAATTAAGAAATAGAAAACAAATACTCCATCCAAGTTATGGACTTGAAGTCTCAATACAATATAAGCTTCTATTATGTGATAACCAAGAACTGCATTCAAGATATGCTTACCTGACAAGGTGTGTTTGACATGTGTCCAAGTCTCATTCTAAGTTGGTCATCACTAAGATCTGAACTGAACATGTCATCATCCCCCATATATGCACAAAGAGAGTGATATCTACAAGATACTCAATTTTTCAGCAAAGGAATAAGACAAACATGCACATTTAAGAAATGCATCATTTTCCTTGTGGCCGTTGATAGAGTACTACTTTGGAGATCTACATTGGAGCAAAGTTGAGTCAAATAGGTTAAGACATACATTAGGTCCAGCCTGAACCTGACCCAGCCCAGCCATCACATATACACGAGTACATGACATGTAAAAGGCTCAATCTGGCCCTAAATTACATGTGACTTATCCTGGTTAGGCCCAACCTGTCTCGTTCAAATATAAAAATGTATAAATGTATATGCTATAAAAAAACAAGAAAACAAGTACTAAAAAAGAAAAAAAAAAAAAATCCTAGGAACTGCCTCTCCACAAATTGTCAAGTGGTCAGGAATGAAGGTTTTTTTGTATTTTTAGATGAGAGCATTTTGGTTATTTTGCATTTGTTGGGGTGGGGGGGGGGATACTCCAGCTTATTGATCAAGCAGTTTAGGAGTTATTTATTTTTCTAAGTTGGAAATATGAGTGGCAAAATTGTAATTTTCAGTATTATTAGTTTAGGATAGAATTGGCTGACCCTGAAGAATCTATATATGTGCATTGTTCTATGGTGGTTGATGCTAGAATGGTATTTTCTGCATATTATGCTTAAGGTGAGTGATTACTTTAAATCCTAAAGTGAGTCGGTGCCTGTTGAGTAATTACTGGTTCTCAACAGGCATTACAGTCTGTTGCATCCTCGCCATCTGCAAAAAAGAAGGCAGTAAGGAGTTGGGATCCTCCTGAATTTGGTTTCCTCAAATTAAATTTTGATGGGAGCAGTTTTGGCAATCCGGGCATACAGCTGAACTAAAAGCAATGGTCTTTGGAATACAAAAAGCCATGGAAATAGGTGTGAGAAATTTGGTTGTTGAAGGCAACTCCAAAGTGATTATAAGCTGGCTAAAACAGGATGGAAAGATTCCATGGGTATACAGAAATGAGATCAAGAAAATTAAGCACATTACAAGGGATATCCAGTTAATAGTTCAGTGGACTCCAAGAGTAGCAAATGGGTTTGAGGACCAGCTAGCAAAGCAAAGGGCTAATAGGAAACACTGTTTCTGGGCTATGTTGTAAGAATGTAAAGCAAATATTGGGTGGAATGTTATTGGACATTGGGGTAGCCGAGGCTACCCAATCTATGTACTAATTCTCATACCTTTTATTAATAAAATCATTTTCACTGATAAAAAAAACAGGCATTACAGTCATCCAAAGCCCACAAGTTCTTTGTACCAATAAAAAAAGAAAAAAAGAAAAGTCCACATGTTCTTCATTGAAGGATTTCATTGAACATCTCTCTAAAGGACTGAAATTGATCCAGGCATGTTTTTCTTGTTGAGTTTAAATCAAAATCCAAATACTTCCCGTCTTGGCAGCTTTTGTCCTTTGTGCCAACCCACCATCAAATGTCATCATATTAGATCACAACCCATAAGATTCTATCGCCATTCATCCTACCGAAGTTCATCTCAAAGCTCTATTTAAAGCCTTGTAGGTGCAAAGGAACTCCAGAAATCATATCTCGTTTGGGCTCCCCTAACACCTTTTTCTTATTCTTCCAACCGAAAAAAAACACCTATATTATTCCAGCGACCAGCCTCTAGACCCTGACATTCCAAGTGAAACAACGGGTCCCTCGAGTTCTTTGCTTCTGCTTCTGCACAGTAATACTAGTTGATTTCTCCCAAGGCAAGAAAATGAATAAGGGTTTCTCAGTAGAAATCCCTCAAAGACACCATCATGCCTTTCTGGCACTGTTCCCTGACCACCATGAAAATTGATTCCAATCGCTGTTTTCCAATTATCAGCCATAGGTTTCCATAAATTGGCCATAACTTTGTTAGAACACATCCATTTGGATCTCGCTTAAAACTAAGAAAACTGGAATCTTCAGCTTCTCCTTTCTTTTCTTTCGCGTGCTTAAAATAGAATTGTTTTTTTTTTTTTTTTTGAGAAAAGGTTAACTTTATTCGAAATAAGAAAAGTACATGAGGAGATGTACATAGGAATCAGATACTCAAAGAGTTACATAGGCAGAAAACTATCACTGAATAAGTAATCCCTGTAAGCGCCAGATTTAGCTAGACTGTCAGCTACAGAGTTTAGCTCCCTCAGAACCCAGCCCACGTGAGCATTCAAGGAGGAGAGGATGCCTCTCGCTTCAGCCAAGTAGTGAGCTAAGGCCCAAGGCCCACTGTAAGGATTAGTGAGCCAATTAATGGTATTGGCTGAATCTCCTTTAATGGTAAGATTTAATAAACCCAGGTCTCTTGCAATCCTGATGCCGGTTAACGCTACCATGATTTCAGCCTTTATTGAGGAAGCTATCCCAATTGGCCCACTGAAAGCCCAACTGGTAGTACCATCTCTTCTTCGAATTACGCCTCCAATACCCGCTGCACCTGGGTTTCCRAAAGCACTCCCATCAAAGTATTAAGCTGTCTCCCTTCCTCAGCAAATCAAAAACTGCAGGAAGTGTTGAGGTGTATGTGATTAGAGTGAAGAAAATTTACGGCATTTCTTTGGAGGTCAGCAAATGTGACACCTCTGAAATAATTTGAACTGGAAGTCAACAGGAAGCATCTGTAACAGATTAGAGAAATCAGCTCCTCACAGTTTTTTGTTTTATTGGTAAACACCCGATTTTTTCTCTCTTCCCAAATGCTCCAAAAGATAGCATGTGCTGCAGATTACCATAAAGTTTTCCCTCTTTTGCTTAAACCTCTTCCTGACCATTGTCCTAAGCATTCAACCACATGTTCTGGGAAGACCCAACTGTAATCAAATAATGTTAGGAATAAGTTCCATAATTTTCTAGTTTCCTCACAGTGAAGCAGGATGTGGTTGGCAGATACCCGGCTTTAAGGCAGAAGCAACAGACATGAGGAGATAGATAACATCCTTCGTGGTTCTTTTTCTGAAGGAGATCATAAGTGTTGATTTTCTTTAAGCTGGCCTCCCACAAAAAAAAAAAAAAAAAGACCCTGGAAGTGATATGAGCACACCAAATTCTCTTGTAGGGGTACTGATCAGTGATTTGTTCTTCCCTAACTAAAGCCTTGAAGCAAGATTTGGTTGAAAACTTACCAGATGGGTGAAGGGTCCACACACGAAGGTCGGGTGAAGCCTTCAAGTCAAACAAACAAACAAACAAAAAAAAACGATGAACATAAAATAAAAAACTGAGCCAAAGCCCAGAGGTCGCGTTTAACAACGAACATAATCCATAAACGACACCATTCAACACGCTGAGTGGAAAAAAAAGCGCAACATGACATGCTTCTAGATATCCATTCCATCTCTATAAATTTATATCAATCACATCTAATCTAACTTAGCTTAGTTCCCAGTTCCCAGTTCCCATTTCCCATCCTAAGGGAAAACCCAAATAAAAGCTAAGCTGAGAAAAGAAAACAAAAGAGATTGGAAAAAAGAATAAGAGAGAAATAAACAAAAAAAAAACGCCTATTAATCCTTACACATCTGAGAACTGATTATGGCGGAAAAGGCTCAGACCAATCCTTTGGCACCACCCTCGGGTCCAACGAAAAGTGACGAAGAATTGGCATCTTTGCAGTCTAAGGAGGAGCTCCGTTGCAAGCGTAATATCAAGTGTTTTGCTTATATCCTTGTGTTTGCAATGCCAACGGTGGAGACCCCAGATTCCAGCGGGTGCTTCTGGACTTACAGCGGAGGAGATGGTATGGGAGGAAGGAGAGAGGGGGAGGGAGAGAGAGAGGCCCGCATATAATTTCAAGTGGGACCCACCTATTATTTTTCTCTAAAAAGAGGAAAGTTCAAATGGAACCCACTTATATATTATTTTTAACATTTATTAATTATATATTAAATATTTTTATTTCATTTAGTGGGACCCACTTGCAAGTTTTCATTTTTTTGAGTTTAATAGTGCCACATCAGCATTTCCTATTATCTTATTCATTATTTAACAGATAGTGAAATGGCCTCATTAACACTAGGCGTTATCTGCCTACGCCCTACGGTTGGCCTTTTTTTGAAGTCTATGGTCTAAATTGGCCTTTTTGTTAGTTTAAGGGCAAAATTACCTTTTTTGCATAGTACAAGGGTTGTCAGTTACAAGTTTAGAATCACCTTCAATGACTAAATTTGTGCTCAATTTTCTTTACGAAAAAATGTGTTCAATTCTCTTGCTCGTTGTAATCCATGTACTGTAAGAAGCTCAACCCTTGTAGAATCCAATAGCCAATTGGTCCTGAAATCAAACCAATGACATGTCCTTGCACATTTCCAAAAGCTCCTCCCACACCAAAGAGACCCAGATTACCTACACTACTTCCATCAAAGTTAAGCTTGATAAAGCCCTCCTCAGGTAAATAATTTGTTAATGAAAACCAAAGAATGGAAAAATTACAAACAGCCCTTAGGCAGAGTAGCTATTAGTACCCTACCTTGATATCACTATATCAATTACAAGCAAGCCCAATACATTCGAATCCTATTAACCCCTTGCTTAGCTAAAACATCAGCTAAACCATTTGCACTTCTCCACACCCAACATGTCTTTATAAACATACTCCTTGTAATCCATTCAATCTGTTTGATCTCATATCTATATCCCCATACTGTTTCCCCACCATTTCCTATCCATTCAGTTACAACTTTAGGACCACCTTCAATGATTTAATTGTGCCATTCAGTTCTCTTGCCCACTGTAATCCATGAAGCACTGTAGCAGCTCAGCCCTTGTGGAGTCCCCTTTGACCAATTGGTCCAGAAAACATAGCAATAATGTGTCCTTGCAAATTCCTTAATACACCTCCCACACCTGATGGACTCAGATTTCCAATACTGCTCCCATCAAAGTTTAGTTTGATGAACCCCTCCTTAGGTGGTGCCAATTGGGTATTAACTTTTAATTTCTTTGACGAGGATGCAGCCACTTCTCTCCATTTCATAAATCATTGTGTGTACAGGGTAAG